AATTACACATGGAATTCTGAACAGATGCCGTGTGCATGGCATATCCTTGATAGAATACTGATCAAAGGGCAATCAGACTTCGACATGGTTCTGAATAGAACTCCTTTTTTTATTTAAGCTATGAGGAGCACTACAATTTAAGCTTTTTTAGAGGTTCACATATAATGGTAATCATTTAATCGATATTTTAAGTTGCCGTCTTTATTTTATTGTGGCTTTCAATGTACTATTGAATGGGATGACATACTCAGTAAGTAGATGATTACCTGGTTACGATTCTGCGAAGACTTTAAAAGTGCTCTCCATCTTCCTGACAATTACAACTCCTGAAACTGGAAACGCTGGTTCAATCGTTTCAGTCTAACAGAAGCCATTCGGAAAAATTCATGGTCTCCTCAATGAAAGCTGCAAATGTAACCTTAAAAATGGTCAGAAATAAGGGAAAGGGAAAATGGTGAAGCACTTGGTCGTGATCAATCCTTAAGGATGCGCCAGTAATAAGTTGGTCGAATGATAGTGCCTTTGATGAGTATGTAGTTCTGCTACAGTTTATATGATACAATTGACGTGGACAAGGAACTCGCATGATTGCTCAATTCGATCATGCAACTCTGATTCTTTCAGTGGGCAGCTCATGGATACGGTAGGCAATCTCGTCGGTGTTCCCACATTTCCCAGCTATGTTCCACGTAAGTTCAATTCTTCTCATTACAGATAGCACTAAAACTCATCTAACCAGGGAATGCTTTCAACTTCCCATGGAACTATGAATGGAGACTGGGATGAATCAATAGAGTAATGAATGCTAGTTACAAATATTGAGACCAAAACTGCTACGTGAACATTCCAAGCAAATCGTGGGCGGTCAAAGTTGACAGGAAGGGTAGCGTCAGTATAGGAGGCGAGCTAATCTAACCGCATCGGCGGTTTTGGTTTTTCCTGAAACGATTTATCCTCAGGGCTGGATGCATGCGTGCATTTGTTCACTTCCCCCCCCCCCGTTCACTAATATATTGTAAATCATAAAAACAAATCATATGTATAAAATTTGGCAAAAGTAGATAAAAATTGTGCAGTGAAGAGAGTTTCATTTTCAGCGCTGATGATGGAG